TTATTGTTTTATTTAAAAAATACTAAATACAATTTAATTTTCCAGGCAAATTTGCCTAGAATACAGTTTAAGGGATACGTATATTAACAGAAAATATATAATATGGCTAAAAATTTTTATTATATGTATAAACCTATAATGTGTGTTTGTGACCCGTTTATGCATAATGATAAGTCTTATAAAGACTTTCTAATTTATTCTGCAAGTACATTTTTTGTTACCATGTAACATTGTACTGTACATTATGTAATTCATTTTTACCTGTTACTAAAATTTGATCTTCCTAATGAGGTAAATAAAATTCTTAGTGAATGAACAAATTTAAAAATCAAATCACAAATATATCTTTATTAATTTTATAAGGAGAGTCTTGACAAAGTCAAGAGAGTAGCAGATGTTTAAAGGAAGGAATTTTTTGAGCCCTAACCTATAAAATGAGAGTTCCTTTTCACTACTCTGAATTATTAGCTAAGTTAAAATTATTTTTACTATCTATCCAAGTACCTATTTTATTTAAAATACTGCCTCTAAAATCACCATTATTATAATGAAAGTTTTTTATAGTTTCTTTACTAATCTTTCCCATCCCAAGACTATGAATCTCAACAGACATCATATTACACATATCATTTAAAGAATAATTATTGTCTGTCATAATCTTATCAAAAAGAATTTTAAAGTGATTTCTGGTTGTTGAGATAATATCAGAAAAAGATAATTAGCTTGAGCTACTGAAAGAACTCAGAGAAAAACTAAAAGATCTTCAGGAAGAATTAGATGTAGGTACAGATGGAAATTGTTCAGATATTAATAGTACTACAGAACCCATCTCAGTTATTTGTTCCAACTGGTCATGAAGAGATTTATAATTGGTGGTGATTTTATTAACAGTTTTAATTACAGTATTTACTATTGTTAGAATTCTTTGTCTCTCAACAACAAATATGGCATCTCTTGTTGTAAAATCTGCAGTTAATCTTTCCACATGTGCATTGAATTCTGTAATAAGTTGTTATTTGACAATATATATGGTGAAGCATGTGACAATGGAAATTAGATAGATAGGAATTTTCTTGGCAAACATCAATATGCACACAAAGGCCAAAAATAGGACAACTTTTGAAACATTAACTGAAGACATATCTATAATAGGAAAAAAGATTATTAGTATAGATACACGAGCATGAATAATAACTCAACAAATATGCAACTCAAAATCAACCTTAATTCATGTAAAATAGGTGAAATTAGTGGAGTTTATTTTGTTGCTCTTAGCGAGATTACTATACTGAAAAATATTATTATTTTAGATACAAGATATGAAAGCTTATTAAATAGTTTATTTTTACAGATATTACTAATAAGAGCATAGAAGGAATGACTAAAGATTTTGGATCCTTTTTATACAAAATTTCACAACTTAGAATCTGATTCATTGCCTCTGTTAGTAAAGGTCAGAACATACTGGAAAAAAATATTAATTATATTATTATTACATTATTATTGATTTATCATCAAAAACATAGCATAAATTCCGATTTTAAGAATGAAGACCTGGATCTAGAGACTTAATAATACATAGTCCAGGTAATGCTGAGTAAGATAAGTGATATTTATTAAAACTAGTATATCTGATGAATATTTACAATTACAATGATAACTATCACATACAATTAATAACTGACTTCAGAAATAACATTAGAGTGATATATAATCTTATTTAGAATTTGACTTTCATAATGCTACTCAATTTTTGGTTAGACATTGGATATAATTTTATTACTTCAAGTATGTATAATCGATCATTGACAAATTTATCTTATTTTATTAGTAGAAGTAGCAAGACTAACATATTATTCCTTATAATATAAAAACTTTTATAATAACTTTAATATATAGGTCAAGTATTGCTGAGCAAGCTGTTAGGCGATTCTCCAAATCATGACCTAAAAAGTTTATTACATATATGCTACTGAGAATATGCTAGAAAGTTTAAGCAAAAACATGATAAGTTCAGGTATTATTTTATGATGATTAATCGATTCATCTAAAACATATATAATATCGCTACTGCATGTGATTTAATAGATCATAACTCAGACTAAGATTTGCTTAAGTTGGATTTACACATGACATCATTTCCGAGGCCTATTATAACATGACATTATTTAATTTTGTGATCACAATCTGGACTAACCAATTTTTACATAATACATTTTTATTATTTGTAATCAAAGCATGTGTTTGAATGCAAAGTTGACCAAATAGCCAACTGAAAAAATATATATGACAGATGGGTAAGTTGGCTTTCTTCTCTCTACATTAGATATTTTATATATTTGAATGTATCTTCTCCAAAATTATATGAATCTAGAGGGTTTTCATAATTATAGTCTTCAATATTTGACAATATTGCATTTCTAATTCTTTTACTGAAGATCATATTATTATTTAATAAATATCTTTCTACTTTTATGAGCTCATCAAATATTGTCAATGCATTATTATATATGAGCTCAATTTTATTATCATTTATATATGATTCTCTATAGCATCTGTCTAATTTTTCTAATAAATTATAGTATTTTATATTAAAGTATTTTCGCCTTTTATAAAGTTCATAACAAATTTCTTTATACCATATGCGATTAATATAAATACAGTCATTTAGATCTTCTGTTGGCATTTTTTGGATGATTTTAGTAATGGTTTCTGAAAGTATAAATGGGTTGAATATATGCATGTTATATTGTATATATCAAACATGTGAGTTTTATTAACTAAGACTTTTTATTCTTTTAGAATTTTGCATAATATCTTAATTTTATATCAAGTTCTTCAACTTGAAGTATTCTGCAAATGTTTTTTTTATTTTAAAGGAAAAAAATATTAACTATGTATACATCTGGATCACTAGCATGATCTAGACTCTATAATTTCAGTTACAAAGAAGACAAGTAAGGTGTATATTTCCTTTAATATGCCCCAAACTATTGTAAATTCGATCTACTGTCTACTGAAGTATATCTCATAGCTGATCCTATTCGAATTTCATTTCGATGAGACATGATGTGCATTTGTCTTCTTGAATACATTTTAATGTGAGGATATAGTCAACTATTAGATCAAATTTACAACCTTTTTCTTTGTTCTGGCTTATATATCTGATAAGTTTTTCCTGAATAGACAGTCTCAATTTGTGCTTTAGCTGTCTTTTCTTTTTTGCCTTCTCAATTTCTTGGACAATTTCAGGAAGTAATGAAGGCACTTCAATCCGAATGAGTTGGTTTAAATATTCCACATGACCAACTGCCAAATATATTAGATTATTCCAAGCTAAGTTTTTATCAATAATCCAAACACACTGTGGTAACTTAAGAGTCATCCTCTGACTAGTATGAATAGTCATAGCATATCCAAGTTTCCAATCTATGACTTTTTTATCCACCAACATATCTTTTAATAATTTGTCAGAAAGTATATTTAAGGATAAGTATACTATGTTATTTTTTACTAACTCCTTCTTTTCAGATAGACCAGGAATCTGGATAAAGCAGTTTTGTTTGTGTCCATCTCTTGGCCGATAAATTAATAGGATTGGAATTTCAGGATATTTTATTTGATGAAGTTTTAAACATTTTTGGAAAGCAATTCTTCAGAAAAGTATATATGTTGATAATATGCGATCTGAGGGAGTCTATTTCTTTTTAAGACGTTTTCATTTTTCTATAATTAGGAAAATTCCTCAAAATAATTTTGATTGTATTTGATTATTTTGTCAATGTATAGCTTTTTTGAGTTTAAATAATTTAGAACATTTTGCACAATAATTAGTTAAAACTTCTTCGTAATAATCAGCATGCTCTTTTAACTAATTATGTAGCATTTCTCTAAAGAATAGCAGAAGTTGTGCATCGTCACTGCAACAAATTACCTGGCATTTATGTTCTAATAAATAATTAATGAACATTTCAAAAATATGCTTAGAAACTGTACATACCACATCCCAAATAACAACTCGTGGTAATTTTTTTTCTCTCATGTGATTAGGTGTTCACTTTCTCACTTCATTCCATCTGAAGAAACTATGCCAGGTTTGAGCTTTTACATTATGTTTTTCTTCAAAATCTTTAGCTAATGCATTTGTATAAGTAAATACAACCATGTTTATATTTTTGAAAATTCGAATTGCATGCATTGTTTTTTCTAAACCACCTTCTTTATTAAGATATGATTTCCGACATCTTGTAATAAGATTATGAATCGAGGGTGCTGTACTTTCAGAAATATTTTTGATTGATTCCCAATGTCTATTCTTTGGCCAGTATACAATATTAGTAACTGGTCCATATATTTTTTCACCTTTGTCATGCCATTTGACTGGGTTGAATTTCTTGGATTTCTTGTTCTTCTGGTTGATATAAAAGAGCATAGGAGTTTGGTCTATAAAACCATTCCCCAAAGCAAAATCTGCAAATAAATGGTTTATGTCTTTTACAGTTATATTTTACTAGAGGTGTTTTGGTTTTTTGGAACTCTTTAATCCATTTTGCATATTCAGATTTTGAAATAAAGAATTCTTCTGGATCAGTACACATTGCACAAGAAGGATAGTGTGAACATAAATTTGGATCTGACTTTACCTCAACTTGCTTGAAGAATGCTAGTATATTTTCGATCTTATATAAAGCCTCTTTTTGTACATATATAGAATCTGTAGCAATCCTTATTACTTTATTAGGATCAAATCTCTGAAGCATCTCTAACAAATTAATATACACATATGCTAACATTAAAACCTGCAAATATGTATATTGAGGTTGATGTTCCTTGTAATATGTAAGTATGAATCTGAGTGGATATTTTTTTCTTCTAGCAAAAGTTCCAGCATCAGTACAATCTTTGATCAAGAAATCAAGCTCACCTTTATCTGTTACAAGTCAATGAGTAAGGCATTTTTCATCAATCTTGCCACCTTGTGTAAGCTTATCTATAATTGCACAACTAATATCTTGATTTCTAAGTAGCTATACTTTGGTCTGTTTAGTAAGAAAAATTATTGCCTTTTCAATAGTTACACTTTCTAGAATACCAATCTCAAAAAGATATCATAGAAGTACAATAAGTGCCCATCCTTTTTCTTTCCTACATCCTTCTCTACTTTGATACACAAAATGTTTTCCATACCAGATGGGAATTGCTGAATGTATATTTGATGCAAATTTAAAAGATCATACTTGTGCAAATCTAGTGATATCATCCTCTAGCAATTCTCCATTTACTGCAACTCAAACAAGGTAGTGTGTTGAATGTCCAAACCCAATGTTGTACATTGGACGTGTCCACACTATGTAAAATATCCAATGTCCAAGATTGTCCAAAATTATTCAAGCCTATGTCCAAAGTTTAAATAATCAATAAAGTATATTAAAAATATATATAATTATATATTTTTTTAGTTTCTGGATTCATTTATAAAAAAATTAAAATATATTATCTTAATAAAATTTTGAGTAATTTTAATTTAAAAAAATGTCCAAAAGTGTCCAAAAGTGTCTACATGACAATACTGTCTGAACCTATTGAACCATGATGTATATTTTCCTTGACCTCGCATACTTGCTAGATAATATTCTTTTATATCGATACATACGACATCATTGACGTGATAATTGGGTGCATTCTAGCATCTATCATGCCCATGCTCGATACAGGCTTGCCTTATATTTTCATTTACTTTTCCAGATATTGGATGCCATTCATTGATTTCATTAGCGAGTCGGCTTCCAGCATAGTTTGCACCAAATATCTGCTCGGCTAAATCAACAACTTTTAGAGACTCTGAAAAAATCAATTTCTTTTTCTTATTGATTATTCCTTCCTGATATTGCCAATCTATTGTATCATTGACCAGTTGTTTGCATGCTTCTATAATTTCTGTATGCTTTTTCCATGTTCTAAATATGCAACCATCTTCTAGAACAAACTGGAATATTGTTTGACTCGTATTCTCCACTCCCATAAGCCAGATTGCTTGAGGTCTCCTGAGGGCATTACTGATAGCTTCCCATATATTACCCTTATAATATTCGATCATTTGATTTCTTGAGAAGTGCTGGTTTCTTGGAAATGCATAGCCATTATGAACTACTATTCTGATTTCTTCATACTTATCTGATCGATACTTTTCACTATTAAATATAGTATCATAAGTTATATTAAGTATTTTAATCGGTCATTTAAGAATTTTTTCTAACTCTGCTACATTTTGTACTTGAGCACCTGGAATGCACATTTTTTTCTCCAAATCATTTATTTTTTGCTGATGAATTTCTGTGAGTCCATGCTCTCACTTAGGTTATTAAAATGCTCTATTACTCTTTGAGCTACACAGTTAAATGCTCCATCTTTCATAAGTATTAATCGATTGACATCTGGCTTTTAGATTCGATATAATTTATATACTATTGCATTATTGTCAAGCTTCTCTACCTCAGATTGCTCACTGACTTCTCTAACCAAAAATTTTTTATCTATTCTTACCCAAAATCCTGGTTTCATTTTCTTTGTAAGTATAACATTTGGACCACTTCTGACATATTTTTCACCTGCCTTTTTTGATTCACGAATAGGCTCATATTTATCAATAATTTTAAAAGCAATCTTTGTTTGAGATTTATCTCCATATACAGAATTATCTTAAATGAATTTTACGCTTATTAAAAACTCGCTATTATCAATCACATTTAAAATTTCTTGAGCCCACTTTTCAGTCATTTCAGTCTCAAATTTTTTGATTCTATTTTTTGTTCTACATGTTCTAACCAGGCTTTACTTCCTTTATCTGATGCTCTATAAGCATCTACTGGCAATTTTATGATTTCATTGATTTCTTCTTCTTCTAAATAATTCCGATATAGGCATTGTAAATATACCTCCTGCATAGCTTCATCATCATTTTCTGCTTCTAATATTATACTGGCCAAATCTATCTCTTTAGCTTCTGTAAACCAGGTTGAGAAAGCATATTCAGCTCCATCTACTTTAAACATATTCTTTGCAGTCTGAATTCCATTTTGTTATATTATATGATGCTCTTCATTATATGAAAATCGAACTGGCTATAATACTTCTACATCTAAATCTAGAAATTCTTCTTCATGAATAGGCAATTCTTGAACAGGTTGCAATTCTATATTATCTAATAGTGTGGTTTATTGAGTTACTATTTTTTCTGATTTAGTAAGTCTACCTTCACGATGAGCTTGGGTACGAGGGCCTGGACCAGCTTCAGAAAAGGCATAGTCTCGAGTCTCTGACTCATTAATTTTTGGCTGTACTATTGGAAATGTTTCATGCTGAAGATTTGCTTCCTCGATTTCAGATTTATCAAAAAATTCTTGCTCTTTATGCTTTTCTTCTTCTGTTGCAGGTTGGAAATATGCATTTGGATCTAGTTGCAATAATTTATCATAAAGAGCTTTGGTTTCAGCCAAATTTTTTGACTGACCATGATTTTTGTCACCTAATTTCGTTGACTTTTTTTCATAATCTCGATCTCCATTGTTTAACAGACTTGCCTGATTTTCTAGCATTGGGATCTTTTATCACTTGAAATTGCAAATCTAAATTGGACAAGGGTTCAGAGCTAGAAACTGGCACAGTTGCTTGTAATATATTTCAAGGTACACAAGGATGCTTTCTTTAGTTAAATGATACTTAAATTTTTGGTTTGTTGTGAATATATTGCAACATCTTGAACAAGGTCCATATCTATACATAGTTAACTGATTCATATATATTACCTTAAATATTCTTTTCTTTAAATTTAAATTTTATCCTATATAGTCTAACTTAAGTATATAAGAAGGCCATCGGAGAGCCAAAAAATGTGTTCTTTGCACTTTCTGTGTGAAGCCTACTGCCTCTGCTTCTGGCCATTGTCAGGCTCATGTTGGTGAGTTTTATGTTTCCCAATATATTGCTCGACTTAAAAATGCTCTCCAATAACTCACTGCACTTCATTTGTTCATAATTGGAATGGATTTTGAAGACTCAAACTATACAAGAAAGCAATATAGTAACTAGATGCTTTACTTTACTCACATTTCAGATGCTTTGCATTTTCATACAGTTAGCAATAATGGATTTCGAAGACTTACTAGACAAGAAAGCTAAAATGTTATCTAGATATATTTTAAAGCAAAAAAACATTAAATAGCTATACAATATATTTTTTATATAACAAAAATGTATTGTAAAAAGCAAAATGCTTATCATCGAAATTAAATTTTCAGAGACTCCAGCTAGACAAGAAAACAAATCATAGTTCTTGATCTTTTTAAGTATCAATTAACCAGAATACTAAATTATTATTCTTGAAGCTTTCAAGTACTGATTTAACCAGAATACTAAATTATTGTTCTTGGAGCTCTCAAGTGTTAATTTAACCAAAAAACTAAATTATTATTCTTAAGACTCTGGAAGGGTTATTTTTAACCAAAAAAATCTAGCCTCAAGAATGTGTTCCTAGGTATTTTATATAAAAAGATAATATGAATTTTGACGATTTCAAAGCTTTTAACTTATATACTCAACTTACCCAAAAATTCCATAAATTACAAAAAAGTCTGCTTGTCCTCTCTGCTGCTTTTTTTATTTTAAAGAATCTACTATAACCTTCTAATCTATAAAATTATCTTATAATTTTCAGATTACTTTCTGTTTGCTTTTTAGAAAACTAATTTATATTTATCTCAAATTCAAACTTTTTTTTTTCTATAAGCAGTCATGCTAGTACTTTATTGAGTTTTTGAAGTTACATTTGTAGCTACATACATATCTCTAATATCTAAGTCTAGCATCACCTAGCCACCTTAATAGTATCTAAATGCAATCTGTTGCATTACTTCGAACAAAAGTAAGCTACTTGTTTGACTACTTAAAGTCCACAATAAAAGAGTCTTTTCTCTTTTATGACAAGCTCCAAAATTGTTTTTGTTACTGCTTTTTCAACTTGTTTTCTTTTTTCTCTTATTTTTTCTTTTTTCTTTTCTATTTTTCCTGTTTGTTTTTTTTCATTTTTCTAGTTTCTTTGAATTTTTATCTTTTTTTTCTTTTACTTCTTCCTATTATTTCAACTTTTTTCACCTATTTGATAATTTTCTTACAACATATTCTTCATATTTGTTCATAAAATGTGTTTTAGGCCATTATTGCTACTGTGTTTGCAAACTACTGTCTTGATCTTGTGTTTAATAGTTCTGCTAGTTTGTCTTATATTTTTTTTAGAATTAGGCCTTTTATTAGTGCTTCTCTTATTTTGACTTCTTCCATTTCTGTTTTTTCAAAGAGTGCTATATATAAAATATATAAGAGAATCTGAATTTTTTCTTCTTTTTTTAATTTCTTTCATGCTATTGCAATGGTCATTTTTTGGATTCTCTTTCAGAGATTTCTTTGCCCCTTGCATACTGCCAAGTGTGCTTGCATCTCTTTTATTTTATCTTAGCATACTTGGCATTCTACTGTTGTATATATATCTGGCCTTCTTCTGTTAAGTTCTTCTAAGATTGAAAGTTTATCTATTATGCACTTGATAAATGCACTTCTTCTGGCACTATTTCTTCTTATTGTGCAATATATTCTCTTAGTCATCTTAAGCCTTTTTTAAAAATAAGTCCAATCATAAATTATGATTTCTGCTTTTGGCTCTAAATCTTTCACTGCTCTCATTTCTTTTTATTTTGCTTCTAGTCTTGCATTTATTACTAACTTGCAAAGCAGTCTTGCTGATATGTCAGTTCATCTGTTTTCCTACTCTAGGCAGTACTTTATCACTTTACAACTGACTTTTTTGGCCTATACTATTTCTCTACTTATTGTTCTTTTTTTTGCTAAACTATCTGCTTTATCATTCTATTTGTCTTTACTATGACTTTTAACTTTAACTAAATCTATCTGAA